CGGTCTCCGCGTCTTGATGGTAGTGGTCCCCCGGGCCCAACTGCTTTCTCTTTATCTCTTTGTCTTGTGTCTTTATTTATTACAACCGCTTGTCTCCGCACACGGGGAGAATACCCGCTAAGCGCTGTAGGGCTGGACCCTACAAGAATGAGTCATAAAAATCCACACCTAACCCTTCTTGCCTTATTAAAAAGCCCAATGACATATACTTAATTTGTATCATTCACATACTAAATTAATGTATTTTTGCATCCCACATCACAGAGAAATACACAAAAAGCTGTAAGAAGTACTTCTCAGAGATGGAAACCAAATGGTTGATAAACAGAAATAGCCAATAAACAAGAAAAGATGTTCTACTTCATTAGTAATCAGGATAAAGCAAATTAAAACAACGACGGCACTATTCACACTGGCAAAAATTAATAAGATCCTAGTGAAGATGTGGAACAAGGTGAACTCATTCACTGCATAGTCAATGCACAAAACCCTAAAGAAACTACTGCATATGGCCGGGCATGGTGGCTCACACCTGTAATCCCAGCACTTTGGGAGGATGAAGTGGGTGGATCATTTGAGGTCAGGAGTTCAAGGCCAGCCTGGCCAATACGGTGAAACCCCAACTCTACTAAAAACAGAAAAAGTAGCCGAGTGGGGTGGCGTGCACCTGTAGTCCCAGCTACTTGGGAGGCTGAGACAGGAGAATTGCTTGAATCCAGGAGGTGGAGGCTGCAGCGAGTCAAGATTGCACCACTGCACGCCAGCCTGGGTGACAGAGGGACACTCTGTCTCAAAAAAATAATAATAAAAAAAACAATTGCATATGTGCCATCAGTACATGTACACCCATGTACCAAAATGCTTCGGGTAGCAGTGAGAATTACAGCACAAACCACTGGAAACTACCCACTTATCCATTAGCAGCAGCCTAGTTTATCAACACCACAGCATCCTACATTGCTGAGCATAAATAAATTACACCTCCACGTAGCATACATGAGTCTCACAAACACAGAGCAAAATAAGTCACAGATGATTCCAGAATATATTTCTATGTATATCAAGTTTAAAAACATGTAAGACAAAACTGTGTATCACTTAGGGATATAAATGTGGGAAAATTATAAAGAAAAGCAAAGAATGATAAATACAAGTCAGGAAGATGTTAGTTCCTTGTGCAAGGAGAGAATGAGTGACAGAATGGGAGTAACACAGAGACCTTCCAAACTAATGGTTACAATTTAAAAAAAAAATCAGGCTAGTAGCCTCCTTCTCAAGGAAGGCTTCCCTGGTGACACCACTTACAATTTTGGTCACTCTTTCCAACATTTTATTCCCCCGCTTGCCTAATTTATTTACTTTTTCCATTAGCAGTTACCACTGCTTGACATACTGCATATTTTACTTTTTTGATGTATTTGATCCTCCCACCTCAGCCTCCCAAAGTGCTGAGTTTATAGGCATGAGCCACCGAGCCAGGCCTATGTTTCCTTTCTTTAGTTTTCAAGTCTAACACTTAGGTCCATGCTGGCCAATTTCAGTCATTCATTTGCCCAACCCTGACTGAATACCTCCTCCAAGCCAGGCCTTGTTCAGGGCACTGGGTAGAGCACGCTGAACAGGACAGACAAATCACCCTGCACTCAAGGAGCTTATTACTTCCAGGTGAGGAAGATAGACAACAAATGTATCAAAAAAGTAAAATATGCAGTATGTCAAGCAGTGGTAACTGCTAATGAAAAAAAAAATAAAGTGGGTAAGTGGGAAATAAAATGTTGGAAAGAGTGACCAAAATTGTAAATGGTGTGACCAGGGAAGCCTTCCTTGAGAATGAGGCTACTCAGTAAAGACCAGAAGAAAGTGAGGAAACCCCTGGGCAGACATCTAGGGGCAGATGTTAAGAGAGAGGGAGAGAGAGGGAGGGAGAGGCAGAGGAGAGTGAGACAGAGAGGAGAAAGAGGCAGAGGAGAGAGAGTGAGAGGCAGAGGAGAGAGAGAGGGAGAGGAGAAAGCGCGCGAGAGAGAGCTAGAGGAGGAGAGCGAGCTAGAGGAGGAGAGCGAGCTAGAGGAATAGAGAGGAGAGCGAGCTGAGGGAGGAGAGCGAGCTAGAGGAGGAGAGCGAGCTAGAGGAGGAGAGCGAGCTAGAGGAGGAGAGAGAGGAACAGGAGAGAGCGAGCGCGAGAGGGAGAGAGAGCGAGCGCGAGAGAGCGAGCGCGCGAGAGGGAGCGAAAGGCGCGCGAGAGGGGAGAGCGAGCGAGCGCGAGAGGGAGAGGCGAAAGGAACGCGAGAGGGGAGGAGCGAGCGCGTGAGAGGGGAGAGAGGAAGAGGAGAGAGGAGAGAAAGCAATCAAGGATTAATTCAAGTTGCCATTTTCTGAGAGAGTAAAAACTGAAAGAGAAAGTGTGTGTTCGAGCTCAGTTCTCCATATGTGAAGTTTGAGACACCGATTAGAAACCCAGTCGAGATGCTAAGTAGCAGAGACAGCACGAGTGGACTTCCCGGCACGAACACTGAGGAGTAAACGCAGTCCTCTCCATCCACATAATGCAGCTCTGTGTGGCCCTTAAGACGACTGATGTCGATCTTATGGACACAGAAAGGTGTCCAAGATCTATTACTGCATAAAAAGATGCATAATTTTCTGGAACAATTATTTACTGCTAATAACTTCAAAACCTCTAGGGGATAGGATATATACTTCTTTGATGGTTAATTTTATGTGTCAACCTGACAAGGCCACGGTACCCAGATGTTAGGTCAAACACTGAGATACATCATTGAAGATATTTTTAGACGAGATGAACACCGAAATCAGTAGGTGAGAGTTTAGCAGATCACCCCCCATAGTGGGGTGGGCCTCATCTAACCCATTAAAGGCCTGAAGAGAAAAAGACAGATCTTCCCAAGCAAGGAGGGCTTCGGCCAGTGGACTGTCTCTGGACCTGAACTGCAAGGCTCCCCTGGGTCTCCAGCCTGCTGATCTACCCTGCAGGGTTTAGTCTTGCCAAGCCTCTACAACTGCCTGAGCCAATTCCTTAGATCTCTCCATCTTTCTCTTTCTCTCTACACATACGCACACATCTTGTTGATTCCGTTTCTCTGGAGAACCATGACTAATGCAACATCTTATGACATATATTTGAATTGTATTTAAATTTTTTTTACAATAAGCATGTATTACTAATCAGAAAAACAAGAATAATCACAAAACTTAATTCCAATAATTAAAATTTAGGTTACATTGACCAAGTGCCTATACATATATTTTATATACATAAATTATATATACATCTCTATAAACAATGAAGCATTCAGTAAACACACATTTTTATTAACATCCTTCCTATCTCAATGGCTGCAAAACCCTTTTTCACGCAAGCTCTCTTGCATGAAATACCTCTTGATATTCTTGCAGAATACCTTTGATGCTCTCAATAAACTCCCGAGTTATCTGAAATGCCCCAAAATGCATTCATATCCTGAATGAGGTACCCAAAGGACATGAACGGACATTTCACAGATTAGAAATGATATCTGGTGAATGAATACATGGAGAAATATTCAAATACAATAGCAATAAACAGAAAAATGAAAAGTTAAGTTTTTTGGAGACAGGGTCTCACTTTGTCACACAGACTGGACTGCAGTGGCCCGATCTTGTCTCACTGCAATCTCCGCCTCCTGGGTTCAGGTTCTTCTCCTGCCTCAGTCTTTTGAGTAGCTGGGATTACAGGCATCCACCACCACACCCAGCTAATTTTTGTATTTTTAGTACAGACAGGGTTTCACCATGTTGGTCAGGCTGGTCTCAAACTCCTGACCTTGTAATCCGCCCGCCTCAGCCTCCCAAAGTGCTGGGATTACAGGCGTGAGCCACCGCGCCCAGCCAAATAAGGTACCTTTTTAAACAAATTAGTTTGAAAATTATAGTAACTAATACTAATTATAAACTTGTAAGCAAAATAGTAATAAATTGAACCTCTTCAGCAGATCAAGTTTACTAATCTTGAAAATCATAACTCACACTAGGTGAGAGTACGAAGTTGTGTTCTAATACATGATGGGTGGTGTTCGAAAGAGACATAAAATAATTGGCAACATGTATAATAATCCATAAAACTATTTATGACTTTGATTCTATTTGGGAGGAAATGTATCATACATGTTTAAAAATATCTTATCTCGCCAGGCGCGGTGGCTCAAGCCTGTAATCCCAGCACTTTGGGAGGCCGAGACGGGCGGATCACGAGGTCAGGAGATTGAGACCATCCTGGCTAACACGGTGAAACCCCGTCTCTACTAAAAAAATACAAAAAGCTAGCCGGGCGAGGTGGCAGGCGCCTGTAGTCCCAGCTACTCGGGAGGCTGAGACAGGAGAATAGCGTAAACCCGGGAGGCGGAGCTTGCAGTGAGCTGAGATCCGGCCACTGCACTCCAGCCTGGGCGACAGAGGGAGACTCCGTCTAAAAAAAAAAAAAAAAAAAAAAAATTCTTATCCACATTTGAAGGTAACTCCAGGCCGGGCATGGTGGCTCACACCTGTAATCCCGCACTTCGGGAGGCAGAGGTGTACGGATCACTTGAGGCCAGGAGTTCAAGGCCAGCCTGGCCAACATGGTGAAACCTCATCTTTAGAAAAAAACATACAAAAATCAGCGAAGCATGGTGGCGGGCCCCTGTAATCCCAGCTATTTGGGTGGCTGAGGCACGAGAATCGCTTGAACCCAGGAGACGGAGGTTGCAGTGAGCTGAGATTGCGCCACTACACTCCAGCCTGGGCAACACAGTGAGACTCCGTCTCAAAAAAGATAGTAATAATTCCAAACATTAAAATAAAGTGAAATATATGAAGTTGTTCCCTAGAATATCATTTGTAATGGCAAAAAAAATTAGAGGTAATTTAAATATCTACCAGTAATGAAACCAGGTTCAAACACATGAGCTACAACTAGTTGAACACTTTTTCTCTGTAAATTAAGAGAATAATGATTTCATACTTACCACTGTACCGAGAAACTGAATGCTCATGTTTCCACCTGCTTCTCGAGACAGACACTAAAAAACAAACAAGAGACATAGAATGAACTCATATCCACACAGCTTGCACGTAATGTTCACGATAGCCAAAAACCTCAAATGTCCATCAACTGATGGATGGGTAAACAAAATATAGTATAGCCATACAGTGAAATGTTATTTGGCCATAAAAAGGAATGAAGTACTGATACATGCTACAATAGAAGTTGGTCACAAAGGATCATGCATTATATGATTCCACTTAATAAGAGATGTCCAGAATAGTCAAATCCATGGAGATGGAAGGAAGATTGGTAGGTGCCTCCAGAAGGAGGGCTGGGAGGACACGGAGATGATTACTCATTGGTGTAGGGTTTCTCAAGGGTGTAAACACAGTCTAAAATTGACTGTAGTCATGGTGGAACAACCCTGTGAACTGACTACAAACCACTGAACTGTAACTTTAAATGGGTGAATTGTACGGTGTGTGAATTCTATCTCAATAAAATAGTTATAGAAAATGAATTAGCATATGTTTAAAATAACAACAATGAAATTCTATGTCCAGAGAGTAGTGAAATAACTTCTTTATTATTCATTTATTTATAAATAAAATTTGTTTAAAGCAAATACATCACTTGCATATATCTTGTTTGAATTTTAATTAAAAGTAAATACTATGACTATTAAAAATTTAGTTAAAAGTAAATACTACTGCTACTAAAAATGGGTGACTAAGTAGTACACTGGAAGCAGACTACACTTTGAGATAATTCTCACCTATAAAACTGGTCTATTGGGCCAGGCGCGGTGGCTCATGCCTGTAATTCCAGCACTCTGGGAGGCTGAGGCAGGCAGATCACGAGGTCAGGAATTTGAGACCAGCCTGGCCAATACGGTGAAACCCTGTCTTTACCAAAAATACAAAAATTAGCCAGGCGTGGTGGCGCGCACCTGTAGTCCCAGCTACTCGGGAGGCCAAGGCAGAAGAATCACTTGAACCCAGGAGGCTGAGGTGAGGTTGTGGTGAGCCAGGATCGCACCACTGCACTCCAGCCTGGGCGACAGAGTGAGACTGTCTCCAAAAAAAACAAAACAAAACAAAACAAAACAAAAACAACTTGGTCTATTTAATCCTAACATATTCCTCAGAATTATTCCTCTTCTGGCTAATCAGAGAGGACTCAGTGACTTCAAAGACTACACACACAAATAAAGCAGTTCTAACTAAGCCAACATCATTTTTTTAAGTTCCCAGATGTAGAGTATTAGTGGTTTTCACTCAACTACATGCCATGAGCATTAGATGTATCCTAATTTTATTCCTTTTTACAAAAGTGGTTTACCAACTCTGATCTCTACAATCACAAAAGTAATAGAACCCAGAGTGAACCTCTAGAAATCAAGCTGAGTCCTTGGTTCCTTGACAGAGGGAGGTTAGATCAATAAGAAAGACAGTGGTTTGATGCAAAATCTTTTCCCCTACTTGCAAATATTGCCAAGTCAATTGACACAACAGTAATCTGAATAGCATACTCAAGGCAATGTGGTACAGAGTAGAAAAAAATCAGTATGGGAGCATTTTAACCCATTTCACTTAGTTTTCTTTTCTTTTCTTTTTTTTTTTTTTGAGACAGAGTTTCATTGTCGTCACCCAGGCTGGAAAGCAATGGCACAATCTCGGCTCACAGCAACCTCTGCCTCCCAGGTTCAAGTGTTTCTCCTGCCTCAGCTTCCTGAGTAGCTGGGATTACAGGCACCCACCACCACACCTGCCTAATTTTTATATTTTTAGTAGAGACGGGGTTTCAGCATGTTGACCAGGCTGGTCTCGAACTCCTGGCCTCAGCTCCCAAAAGTGCTGGGATAACTGGTGTGAGCCACCATGCCCCGCCAACCCATTTCACATCTTTTTTTTTTTTTTTTTTTTTAAGACAAAGTCTCGCTCTGCCGCACAGGCTGGAGTGCAGTGGCATGATCTTGGCTCACTGCAACCTGTCTCCTGGGTTCAAGTGATTCTCCAGCCTCAACCTCCCAAGTAGCTGGGACCACAGGCATCTCCCACCATGCCCGGCTAATTTTTTGTATTTTTAGTACAGATGGGGTTTTGCCATGTTGGCCAGGCTAGTCTTGAACTCCTGACCTTGTGATCTACACCCTCAGCCTCCCAAAGCACTGGGATTACAGGTGTGAGCCACCTCGCCTGGCCAACCCATTTCACTTCTAAGAATTTATCCTGAGGAAAAAATATGAGGATAGGCAGGAAAATAAAGCTGAACAAATATCACAGTATAGTTGACAGAACTGAACAATGGCAAGCAATGTAAATGACTGGGAAGGACAGCTAAATTATGGTATATATCCAGCCTGCCATTTAAAAGTTTAAAGACATGAAAAATGCTTATAGTTTATTTCTAAGTGCAAGAAGAACAAAACAATATGTTCAGAATAAGCCTTGTAAAAAAAAATGTTATAGAAAAAAATTCTAAAATTAGCGTACATAAAGCTGTTATTTCTAGGCAAAAATACTAGTTGACTCTCGTTTTCACTTATCTGTTTTTCCTATTCTTTTATATGCATATGTTGAACTTAATGAAGGCAAAAAGAAACAGAAAACAAAATGGAATAAAACAGACTCCTTTCCTGTGTCTTACAGAGACTCAATTAAGAATGGAGCGTTGATTCCTAGGTTTTGACACTGGCACTTCTACGTTGCTCATCTATCTAATCATCCATCTATCTCTCAACTGTGTTGGGCACTGCCGGCTGAATTAAGACCCACCTTCCAGGAGACTAAGGAAAAGACGGCACAATTATTGGAAAAATAAGTATAATTCAATACGATAAATGCATAGTACAAAATGTATAAGGTATTATGGGATAAGAAGATAGACTAAATGAGCAGAAAGGTTAAGAAAGACATTAGGTAGGTTAAGACAGACATTAAAGCTGGATATTTAAAAACAAACAGGGGCAGGGTACAGTGGCTCACGCCTTTAATCCCAGCACTTTGGGAGGCCAAGGTGGGTGGATCATTTGAGGTCAGGAGTTTGAGACCAGCCTGACCAACATGGTGGCTCTACTAAAAATATAAAAATTAGCAGGGTGTGGTGGCAGATGCCTGTAGTTCCAGCTATTTGGGAGCCTGAGGCAGGAGAATCGCTTGAACCTGGGAGGTGGAGGTTGCTGTGAGCCAAGATTGTGCCATTGCACTCCAGTCTGGGTGCCACAGCGCGACTCTGTTACAAAGAAAAGAAAAGAAAAAAAAAAAAAAAAAAAAAACCACCAACAGGATTCAGCCATTATGAAAAACAGTATGGAGGTTTCTCAAAACATTAAAAATAGAACTACCACATGATCCAGCAATCCCACTACTGCATATATATCCAAAGGAAAGAAATCAGTTATGTCAAGGAGGTACCGGCATCCCCGTGCTTACTGCAGCACTATCCATGATGGCCAAGGTAGGGAATCAACCTAAGTGTCCATCCACGGACCAGCGGAAACAGAGAATGTGGTATATATGCACAATGGAATATTATCCGGACTTAACAAAGAAGAAAATCCTGCCATTTACAACAACATGGATGAACCCGGAAGATATTATGTTAAGTATAAGAAGCCAGGTACAGAAAGACATACCATATGACCTCACTTACATGTAGAATCTAAAAACGTCAAACTCAGTAGAAAATGCAATGGTGGTTGGGGAGAGGGGGGTTGGGGAAATATTAATCAAAACCCACAAAATTTCAGTTATAAAGGAGAAATAGGTACAAGAAAGCTATTGTACAATACAGTAACTACAGTTAATGACAATGTATTAATATATTCTTGAAATTTTCTGAGTATATTTAAAGTGTACCTCACATACAGAATAAGCACGTGAGGTAATACATAAATGTTAATTAGCTCAATTTAGCCATTCCACAGTGTATTTGCTGTTTGAAGTGTGTACTTCAAAACATGTTGTACATGGGCTAGTTTGAAAGTTTGTCTCCTCCAAACCTCACGTTGAAATGTGATCCCCAGTGTTGGAGGTGGGCTTAATGGGGATGTCTGGGTCTCTGGGAAGGATCCCTCATGAATAGATTAATGCCCTCTTTGAGGGCGAGTTCTCGATCTTAGTTCCCAAGAAAGCTGGTTGTTAAAAAGAGCCTGGCACCTCCCTCCCTTCTCTCTCTGTGACCTCCGCACACACCAGCTCCCCTTCGCCTTCTCACCATGAATAAAAGCAGCCTGAGGTCCTCACCAGATGCCTCATCTTGAACTTTTCCAGACATCAGAATCATGAGCCAAATAAACTTTCTCTTTATAAACTACCCAGTCTCGAGTATTCCTTTGTAGCAACACAAAAGACACTAAGACAGCACGACAAATATATGCAACTTTAATTTATCAATTAAAAAACAAATTACAAATTTTAAAAATGAGCAGGAGTTCTCCAAAAGAAAACTGAAAAGGAGCCAGGAACGGTGGCTCACACCTATAATCCCAGCATTTTGGGAGACCGAGGCAGGTAGATTGCTTGAAGTCAGAAGTTCAAAACCAGCCTTGTTAACCTGGTGAAACCCCATCTCTTCTAAAAATACAAAAATTAGCCAGGTGTGGTGGTGGCACCTGTAATCTCAGCTACTTGGGAGACTGAGGCAGGAGAATCACTTGAACCCGAGAGGTGGAGGTTGCAGTGAGCCAAGATTGCAGCACTGCACTCCAGCCTGGGAGACAGAGCAAGACTCTGCCTCAAAAAAAAAAAAAAAAAAAAAAAAAAAAATTGTGGGCTGATGAGACAGTTAATGCAAATTTCAGATTAAGAGATGGCACGATGGCATGGCGAGTTTAGCGAATGTTAAGCAGTTCAGTGTGGCCAGAAATAGGGTTGCATCAAGGTGGAAGTGGCAAGAAAGGAAACCAGAAAGGAATTACAAACCCAGGTCAGATGCTGTACAGAGAGAACTCATGCTTGACAAAGTTCTTACACTTAAGAATTGGAGTGTGACACGCTCATGTTTTAGAAAGACGGTAGTCTGAGGTCATGC